ATTTAGGTGCCCTAAGAAGACCTAACGGTCTTGTCATAGAGCACCGCGAAAATGCATTTAACCAGGAAGTTCACGCCTCCTTTCTTACCGTGACGCGAAAATATGTCCAAAACTCATTTCAAACCTGGATCTCTTGCTTATAAAGCAAACGTTCTAACGACTGCGCTACGGCCGTACTTAAACTTCACCCCCTTCCACTAATTCGGCATTTAGCACTGTTAGGGCTAATTTCTTAGAAATACCGAAATGCCAGCTTAAGCAAAAGACGGCTTTGAAACTTGGGGCATTCTTCAGAACTTGTATAGTTTTCACATTGATTTCATTGACATGAAAGGTGGAATCTTTTCATTGACATGAAAGGTGGAATCTTTTCATTGACATGAAAAGTGGAATCTTTTCATTGACATGAAAAGTGGAACCTTTGGAGGTTTTCAAATTCTTCTCATTGTTTTCAGAACTTGAAGTAGTACAAAAACATTTAGCAAACTCTACCGTGGAAAAATTTTTATTAACCATTATAACTAATTATTAAATAAATTTGTTTGATATCTTGATAACTTGTTTTCCCTTGGAGATTATATAACCTAAAAAACTTTTTTTAGGTTATATAATCTCCAGTTTTTGCAAGATAAAAAAGTTTAAAAAAAAGCTTAAAAAAAGAATATAATGAAGGGTTTAAAAATAAAGTATATATATATATATATATATATATATATATATATATATATATATATATATATATATATATATATATATATATATATATATATATATATATATATATATATTACATCATAATGTAAAATTATGCAATACGATTAATAAATAATAATAACTAATCATGTTTAACTCTTAATTATGCTTTATTAATTATTATTTATTAATTATGCTTTATTAATAATTAAGCATATTAATAGTTAACCTTAAATTATGAAAATTGTTATGCTTAGTTAATTTCTTGTTTTTATGATCAAACAATTGATGCAATAAAAAATCAATGTCATATTTAGGCTCAGTATGCTCAAATTATTATTATTATTTTTTTTTATTTTTTTAATTTTTTTTTGCCGTTTAATATTACAATAACTAAATATATTTTACAATTTTTTACATTAGTAACGACAGGACTTCTAGAAGATCATGAGGATCTTGTCATGAAGCCCTTTACAATATATGGTTAACTTTTAATAAAAATACAATGTCTGTAGTGAAATAATAATACACCTCTATGCAAAAATATTTAAAAACCAAGATAAAATGTTAAAAAGCCAAGATAAAATTTTAAACCAAATAATATACTAAATAAAACATCAACAAAAACAAAAAAAAAAAGGCATTTAAAAATAAATCAAGATATTTTCAATTAAAAGTATAATTTTTTTAAGTTTCTGTTTGAATGAAGCATAAGTCAGTTGGGTTGAAAAATCAAAATTTGGTAAGGCTATTTTGTTCCAGAGATAAGGACCTCGGTAAGAAACAAAAAACTGGTCTTTGCTTTTACGACAAAAAAGGGCAATAAGAATGTTATTAATTCGAAAATTATATTTGGTTTTAGGTTTCATACAATAAAAATTTTGTAATACATTTGGCGACAAATTTTCTCTTCATTTAAACATGAAACATAAAATATTAAAGAAATTTAGTTGGTATACATTTAAAATATTCATTTCTTTAAAAAGTTGTTTCGTGTGAAAAAACCGATTTTTAAAATTTATTACGCGAGTTGCGTGTTTCTGATGAAGGTAAAGAGATTTTAGCTTTGTTCTGTGAGTGCTTCCCCATATAATATTCGCGTAGTTTGTATGACAATGTATAAATGAATAATATAATTGTGTTAACTGGTGTTTACTTAATATATTTCTTGCTTTATAGAGAATTCTGATGCATTTAGCAATTTTATTGGAGGTATTATCAATATGATTTCACCAAGATAGGTTTTCATCAATATATACTCAAAGAAATTTAGTAACTTTTTCTCTTTTTATTATTATATTATCAATTAAAAGGTCTGGCATGATATGGGGCAGTTTCTGGTATTTTAAAGGTGGATAAAAAAGTGTCCATTTAGTTTTTTCTATATTTAGAGACAATCTATTTTGTTTAAACCAAACAGCAATTTTTTTTAATTCAAGACTTAACTTATTGATTTTTAATCAATAAATTAATTAATAATTAAATAAATAAATAAATTAATAATTAAATACATTAACTAATGATTAAAAATTTAACTCTTAATTTATTGATTAAAAATCACTAAAAAAAGTATTATTTTTAAGGTTTATGATTGTTAGTAAGCATTTTTAAATTGCGCTTGAATTATTTCTACAACCCTTGGATTTTATTACTAAGTAAGAAAAATGTTATTGTTACAATCAATAGAGCAAGATGGCCGCCAGACCTACGTTATTTTATAAAAGCTAAAAATTACTCAGCGTGTGTTTCAAACACAAGTAGGAAGAATGGTCATCGTTGCATTATAGACCATGGTGGCTTTGGCTAGTAACAGGTACAAAAGGTGTTTAAAATACCACCTAAACTAAGTCGAATTATAAAACATAATTTTCTTATAATTTTCTTTCTAGTAGTATTAAAAATCATGCCATCCATTCCCAGACACTTATCATGGAGGCTACCCCTTGCCAGACTCCGTTAAACTTGTAACTGTAATTACGTTATAGTGTAAAGGTTGAAAATAATCCAGATTATTTGGTTAACTATTATAAGATGTTTAGTCATTATCCAGATTTTACAGTTCTAACTCCTAGCCAGACTAGTTTTATATCTAAAAACGTTCTAGCAAAAACCTTAGTTACATAACTTAACTGAAAATAATTACAGTTTGATTGCGTCAGAAAAAGTATTGGTTTCTATTAGCACTTAATAAAGTTAGAATCTAAGATAAAAATTGTAATAAAAATAACTGTCTGAGAATGGATGGAATGATTTCTAATTCTACTACGAGGAAAATTGTAAAAAAAAATTACGCTTTATAATTGGACGTAGTTTAGCCGGTACTTTAAACTCCTTTGATACCTGTTACCATTCAAAGCCACCATTATCTAAAGTACATAGTTGACCATCGCTTCTACTTGTGTTAGGCGGCCACAGGCTATTTGACTGCAAGGAAACTTTGGACTATTTTGTTTTATCATTGTATTATCATGCTTACAGCAATTTATGAGATAAGTTTATATTGTTATATTTCATTTTAAATCCCATCGAATTAAAGACAAAAAACCGTATAACATGTGGTTTATCCAGTGTAATCAATATAAAGTGAACAAAAAATTACATCACTGAAAAAAAATGTCGCAAAAAACTTTAAATCGATGGTGCACATCATGGCGGTTATTTTTTACTGTTTTTATCCCAAATGCTTTTTTTAAAAAATACCAAAATTTATCGATTTTTTTTTTGTGCAAAATTGCAAAAAAAATATAATCTTTAGCACTAAATTAGGTTTATATAATAGTATTTTAAGTATTAAAATACTATTATATAAACCTAATTTTTTAAAGAAAATTCGTTTAAAGAAAAAAAAAAGTTCGAACATATATTATTCGTTTTTTTATAAAATCTGCTAGTTAAAAGTTATATAGATATTGAAATTTAATTTCTTTTAAAAACTAGAACTAAAACTAAAAATAATCAGCTTGATAGACTACATGACCTTATTAACTATTAATATTATTACTTATAAAGAGAGCTATCTAGTTGATCTCAAATTCCAGTTTACAGCTATATGTCTAAATTAGAGTTATATAGTAGTTTCAAGCAAAATAACCATCAAAATGTCTGTTTTTTTACAAAATACAAATATATTTACGGCATCACTTAAAAGAAGATATATGTTGTAAACTGGAATTGTAGATTTATATATTAGGAATCCATGCGGGAATTTTTAGATCATACGGTTTATTATGGATAAAGGCTATTTAAGAATTTGTTAGTTTTTCAATCAAAGTATTTTTTCAATCAAAATGATGACTCAGAAACCATTATTGATTTTTAAAATATATTTATGTCGGTTTCAATATTATTAATTAATGCGCAAAAATTTAAATATTGATATTATATCATACGTGAGTAGAAAGTGTATTTTTATTTAATACGTGGGTGGGAAAGTGTATTTTCGTAAATGAATTTTAAATTAAACTTATTGAATTCTGGAAAATTTTAGTTCAAGATAAAGTATTAAAAAAAATTGGTATTTATTTCAAATAACTTTTGCATAACATTTCTCTCAATATTTTCCTTAGCACAATTTAATGACAATTTTTGATTCAACTAAAAAAATTTTCCTGATTCAAAAAAAGTTTAAATTATTATATACTTGGTTTTTAAATATTGTATATTTAATAATTATTGTTAATAATATAAATTTAACATATTTATTAATAAATATGTTAAATTTATATTATTTATATTAATTTATATTATTTTACTCCCTCCCCAAACACACACACACAAGCCCCTCCCCCGTAAAATTGCTTCTGAGTGCAACCCAACCCACATCCAGACCTGTATGTTTAGCTCATTCCATATATTTAAATTTAAACATCAAGACTTTTTATAATCTTCTTTTAAAACCTTTTAGCAAAAAGTTATGAGTGGTAATTTGCATGGTAGACATCTCTACCATGATAAATATACCAATATATATACATATATATATATATATATATATATATATATATATATATATATATATATATATATATATATATATATGTATATATATATATATATATATACATATATATATATATATATATATATATATATATATATATATATATATATATATACATATATATATATATATATATATATATATATATATATATATATATATATATATGTATATATATATATATATATATATATATATATATATATATATATATATATATATATATATATATATATATATATATATATATATATATATATATATATATATTAATTGATTGAAACACATAAATCAATCAAAAAATAAATCAAATAAAATTGTTTTTTTATTAATTTTATAACAAATTAAATATATTTCCAGATGTATTTTCATGGTGTTTTTTGAAGTGCTTTTTTGTTTTTAATTTGGTTGGACAAATACGTGGTACTAAAAAAAAAACATTAATGTTTGAAATGTTTTGAATGCACAACCGTTTTTTAATATCTATTATTTGAGAGTATTTATTATTTTTACTCGTACCTATCCCGGAGGCTGCACCATCATTTGGACGACATGATTGTTCCTTTAAAGCCTTTGCGAACCCTGGATATTTAGATGGGTTTTGATAACTAAAACGGTTAGTTGAATCCAAACTGTATTGTAAAATTGGAAGTTGTCCTAAAAAACAAAATTTTAATTGACTATTGAAAGATTCATTTTATACTTTGAAAAAACTAAAAAATTATGGAGAATAACATTATTAACAATAAAATTGTTATGTCAATGTCATTCAAATTAATGACAAAATTTTGTTGCTTTTTGTTGTTGTTATTTAGGTGCCCCAAGAAGGCCTAACGGTCTTGTCACAGAGCACCGTGGAAGCGCATTTAGCTATTTTTATTTTGGCTTGTACTGTTACTGACAGATCTTTATGTTATATTATTTTAAACGGGTAGCTATATTAAGTTGAACTGCATTTTTTTATGTCTTCGGAAAGAAAAAGTTTATGTTTTTAAAAAAGTACAAAGCAGTTTGGGAATGACTCAACTAGTTTGACGTAAGTTTAGAGATCAGTCTTTTGAAGAAACTGCTCTTTGAGGTAAGAAAAGTGATAATAACATAAGATATTAATGTATGATTGTATGATAAAATTTTAATAGACTATCTAATTCTTTGAGATTTCTGAAAATAAAATTAAACTGTTAAAATTTTAGAAATGATTAATGCCTTATCTTTAAATTCCTTCAAATTACTAAACTTTTTGATTCTAATGTTTTACACTTTTTGATAAGCATTCACCCCAATTATATATATATATATATATATATATATTTATATATATATATATATGCAGGGCCGGCGCGAGTAGGTGTCACGTGGGGGGGGGGGGTGCCATTACAACTTTTGCCGACTAAAAAATAAAAAAAAAAAGATCCTCGTTTTCCAAAATTTGCCGACTGTCATGACGACATTTGCCGACTGTCTAACCTATATCGAAACCTATATTGCCGACTAAGTAGGTCCAATTTGCCGACTAAGGGTCCAGTTTGCCGACTAAAAATCTTTGATGGAGGGTGTGTGTGTGTGTGTGTGTGGTGACCCCCCACACCCCCTATCGCGCCGGCCTTGCATATATATATATATATATATATATATATATATATATATATATATATATATATATATATATATATATATATATATATATATATATATATATATATATATATATATATATATATATATATATATATATATATATATATATATATATATCAGTGCCGGATCAAGGGGGAGGCTAAGGAGGCTATAGCCCCGGTCCCCGCAAGGTTAGGGGCCCCCAAAAAGTTTAAAGGACCTTTTTTTTTTTTTAGTCATTTTTTGCTTACAAATTTAATCCGCCATTTGTAAAAAGGGCAATTTATTATATAGTTAATGTTGTTACCCCAATACCGCGCATAGTGTTTGCCATAAAATTTAGAATGTAATATGTGTGCATTTCAAATCCTTTTATAAAGTCATTTTTTTATGAAGAATACTCACGCGACATCTCACATTGCCATCCTTCTAAAATCTTTGAACATGTAAAATTAATATTACCTGTAAAATACATACAAGAAAATAAAAGTTATGTAACCTTCTTTCAATAAACTCAATATAAAAAATAATAAATTAAAAGAAATGTATAAAAAAAAAATGCAGAGTTAGGAACAAGTTAGATAAATAAACTATCATTAATTAGATACCAATATGCGAAATTAGGCTTGGCATTCCTTTGCATGCTTTTCGCGAAGTTCTTTCTTGATTCCATATAGCAAAACGCTAAATTTAAAAAAATTTGAAGATTTGAGGTCAAATAAGGGGTTGTCCACTAATAACGTCAACAAAATAGGGGGAGGGGTGGTCTGAACTTTTTTGACAATTGTTGACAAGGAGGTGGCCTGAACTTGAGTTTTATTGCTTAAGTAACGGAAAATTTGTAGCGTATAGGGGGGGGGGGGGTAATCAAAAATTGACGTAATTTTAAAGGGAGGGGGGTAATTTTAAAGGAAGGGGGTCTCTGACAAATTTGACAAATTGTTGACAAGGTGGAAGGGTGTCGGGGGGGGGGGGGGACAGGTAAAAATTTCAAAAAATTTGTTGACGTAATTAATTGACAGCCCCTAACTTACCATTAGTATAACGATGAAATGAGTCTTCCTTACTAAACAAAACAGTAAAATCTTACAAAGCAAAAAATTGCTTAATTGATACAATAATGAGTATTAAAATTCTGCTATAAAGTTCTCTAGAAATATTTGGCATTATAGTATTATGTCATATTAAAAAGAAAATGCACGCACAAAATAATCTAAAGATGACGAATATAATATAATATTATTAGGCAGTTAAAAGTCTTATATTTAGCAATACTGGTTATTATATTAGGTAAATATTTCACCGGAGCAGCTGGATACAAAGGTGATTGATATATTAAACCAATTGGCTGAGGATTATTTTTTCTTGTGGGTGATAATAAAGTTCTTTTTACTTTCGATCGTCTTAGAGTTGTAAATACTCCGTCTTCTTGCATTTTAAAGCATCAACCTAAGAAATAGTAAAAATTTGTAGTTTTTATTTTCTTAAATGACGTCATATTAATTCTAAAGTAACGTGCGTTATACGTTACTAATGTAGTTAGTTTTAGATCGTTATTTGATCCTGATTTTGTCGTGATTTGATCGTAATTCAATATTGATTAAAAAAAATCTTTTTTTTATTTAAATTTTTTTTTTTATTATTAGCAAATCAATTTTCTAATATAATTTTATAATAATAAATAGATTAGGAAGCCTTCAGCGAGTTTCCACGTTTCTTTTTTTATTTGAAATTATAACTTTGTTATTATTTTGCAAAGCATATACTTTTTTAAAACCCCCGTTAGGGTCACAATCACTCTCTATATAGACTTAATATTCAATGTAGAATCGTGTTCTATATATATATATATATATATATATATATATATATATATATATATATATATATATATATATATATATATATATATATATATATATATATATATATATATATATATATATATATATATATATATATATATATATATATATATATATATATATATACAATTCTATGTGTATATCATTATTAGAAGCAAGTAGACCAATAAAAAATTGATTAAAATTATGGCCGAGTACATGGGGGAGAGAAATCTATTTTTTTCAGCAATTTTTTTTTGCATACCTACTGAATGGATGACTCCTAGTTCAAACATCTAGTTCAGTTGCTATAATAATGAGACCTTATTTACTAAAACAAAATTTTCATAAGAAAAAGAGGATATTCAGGCGCGGATGCAGCATTTTTTGATGTTTGAGATACCTAACTTCCAGACATGGAGCTAACTCCAAAATTTGATATGTTTATACTTATATCATATAAGGATGCTTTTCAAAAAATTACGATGATTGGAGCCTGGGATCAAAAAAGAACTAAATATTTTGCTACAATTGCCTCAAAGCAACAAGTTGATAAAATATTTTATTCACTATTCTCAACCAAGTTTATATTCATTGATAAATTTTAAAACTCACAGAATAATCTCTTAGCGTTTAACAATTAAAAAAATTATTTTATTAACTTATTGCTCTCACGTTTGGGGGAGGTGTAGCTAAAATTTTAGGTCTTTTTGATCCCAGGCTCCAATCATTGCAATTTTTTGCAAAGCATTTATTTTTTTGCAAAGCATTTATTTTTATCACTTTATTTGAAATAAGTATAGACATATAAGTTTTTTGAGTTTGCTCCATGTCTGGAAGTTAGGTAACTCAAACATCAAAAAATGCTGCACCTGCGTCTGATAATGGAAATATATATTTTGAACATTATACTACCAAGAAGAAATGGAAAAATAAAAATGAAGAGTTAAATAGGAGATTTTATCACATTTTCTTTTTTTTTAAAGGATAATAGAGGATTTCATAGAAGATTATTAAAGAGGTATGGCTACCCTGTAAAATATAAGCCATATTTTAACAGTAAAAAAGTTGATTACTTTTTGCTTGTTTTGGATCTCAAGCTTTAAAAATATCATTTAAGGTTTTTATTGAATTTTATTGAATTATGAAAACTAAGTTTAATTTATATCACCATTATGCTGAACAAGAGCTTCTTTAAGTTCAATCAAAATGCTTTTCAATCAATATTTTTTTGTGATTAAAATTAATATACTTTTTCAAATTAACTTAACATCTCATATAAATATAAGAAACAATAGGGTTAATAAAAATATTAAGAATATAAATGGGGCTGTCCATTAATTACGTCAACAATTATTTTGAAATTTTTACCTCCCCCCTCCCCCTTGTTAACAATTTGTCAAATTTCCAGAGACCCCTATAAAATTACGTCAATTTTTGATTACCCCTCCCCCTCTATAAAAAAAAGCTAAGCTACAAAATCAGCCTAATTTTCCGTTATTTAAGCAATGAAACTCAAAAAAAAAAAATTGTTAACATCAACTTTAATTGGCCTCCCCCTCCCCCTTGTCAATAGTTGTCAAAAAACTTCAGACCACTCCCCCCTATTTTGTTGACGTAATTAATGGACAACCCCAAATACATTTATAGTTCTTTTAATATTTTTTTCTAACGCTAAAAAAAAAACAAAAAAAAAACGTTGTATTGTGTTATTTAATCTTAATTACACTTAATTACCTAATGCAAACTTTTAAACATACCACTTAAAAAAGATTTACTTAGATAAAAAAGATTGATTTAGGCCTCTGTATTATGTCAGTAATGGTTAAATATTAAAATGGAGATT